GGCTGTAACTTTCAAGTTGGCAGTTTTGTTTGCCAGACCTCTTGAAGCCAGGCTAATCAGTCTATGCTATTTTCCCCCAGTTTGGGGTGAAACTTCCACACACTTATCTACATTATGGATTTGCATTATTTTTCCCTCTTTCCTCCCACCTCACCATAGGTCATACAGAGGAAACATCTTTTAGCTTTCCCATTGAGCTGGGAATAGAATCACTATCCAGTTCATAAAGATACAATTGTTTTTGACTATTCCACGTGTCCAAAGAATTACATTTGTCAGACAGATGTTTATCCTTAACATTAATTCACTTTTCCACACAAGTATAATAAATTGCATCCATAACTGTAAAACAATTTCCATATGGTGCTTACTAATACTACCTCATTTGACCTGCAAAGAATCAAAAGGGTTTCAGGCCTCTTAAAAAAAAAAAAGAATTAGGAGGTCTAGAATATTAATAGAGATGCTTAAATATTGGAAAAGGGTAGGGAGGGTCAGCTGAATTTTGAGTAGGTCAATGTCTGTTTCTTTCAAGGGCTTTTCTGACCAAGTTACTAATTTTGACAGTTTACCTACATAAAATTGTGCCAACATAATTTCCTAAATTACCAGAGGAGGACTAGAGGTGGACACTCCTTGAAGGATCTAATAGATTCCTGCCACTATACTTGAGTCTATTTCAGCCTTCAGTTTAGAGGGTGGAAACCATGAAGGGACTTTAGGGGTACAACACTACCATCACAGCACCTAACTTTTGTGTGCCTAGAAAATCACAAAAACAACACTACAATCCACAAAGCTGTGTAAGGCTCTCTGTGGGTAGAGACCGGCGCCTTGGCATGTGATCCACAAAAGCCAGAGTGCTCAGCAGCACCTTACCTAAACTAGCCAATGGGAGATGCTGATGTGCTAAGCCCTGCCCCTTTCTCAGTGATCGGCACCTCACCATGCTATGATCCACCAACAGAACCCCTCTCCCAGCTAAAGTGCCTATGTAGTTTCATGCGGGACTGAGTTAGACATCTGCCTCACTCTACACAAGAGGAGGCGGAGCAGGCACTCACACTCACTTTTAACCCTGTGGTTGGGGCACTCACCTAGGCTGCGAGAGACCCAGGTTCAATTCCTCCCTCCCTGGTAGCGGCAGAGAAAGGATTTGAACTGGGATCTCCCACCTCTCAGGAGAGTGCTCTAACATCTGAACTATGGGGTATTCTTAGGTGGGGAGGGGTACTCCCTCAATCTCTCCTGTTGAAGCTGTGCCATTACTTTACCTGCCTTTACAACCATGTGCTTCCTCTCTGTATATTCTTCCTTAAAACATTTCTTCTGGGGAGCCCTACTTTACCATAAGAAGCATTCTCTCTCTCTCTTTCTCTTTTTATTTTTTTTTAAACAACACTCTGTACCCCTCTACAGTATACCAGCCTGTATCTTTTGTCCGTGTATTAAGCCCATTGAGGGCAAAACCATTGTCTTCTGTGTTCAGTAACATGCCAGACAATATGCCTGAGAAATGTTAAGGCTATGCCATGGCAAACTGTCAGAATGCTGGCCAATACCAGGGTTTGAGTTAATTAGAAATAGACAGGAGTACATTTTGTACATGTGGAGTCTGCTGATTGAGTAATCTTCCAACTAAACACACTTACCTGAATATTCATAGTCACTTAGAAGGCAGTCAGATTTCCTGAGCGCAACTAGTCAACTCAGGCAGTGGCTTGGTATGGATTCAAAAGAGAAATGGTCAGACAGGAAGGGATTTTAGAAATTGAGAAGCATTTGGTTGCAAGATCTGAGGAAAAGGAATCAGGTATATTTTGGAAGGATAGGAGAATGAGGATGGCTCTGTATGTATAGTGAGCTCCTAGGAAGCTAAGAGAGAATTAAAAAATCAGTCTATTGCCTCACAAATGCCATCTTTGACCAAAACAATGGGCTAAAATCTGCCTTCAGTTAGTTTTCTACAACCAGTATTTGTTCCACTTGTCTAAGGTTTATGGATTAGTGAGTGGGGAAAACCCACTTACCTTATTTTAATTCCTTGTCTCATTTAAATCACATGTCTAAAAAGCTTGGGAAAAGTAAGGAAGCTGCAAATTTTTGGAGCTGACAAACATAGCCACATCTACAGTTGTCTGAATGGGTGAAATGCTTGCCTAAGAATTAAAGTGATAAATTTTGCCTCACATAACCCTACTAAACTTGCACCGTGTAACTAAGGACAATTTGGCCCAAGGTGTCACTAGCAAGGACAGTTAAAAATGAGGCTCAGTAACCTATGCTGCCTGACAGCTGCTGCAAGTGATAATAAAACATCAAGGTTGAGACAAAACTAAGTTAATGGGCTCCCCCTCCCACAAGAGGGTTTATCAGGCAACAAATAATTCCGGGATGCAACAGAATCCCAATGTCACCCCAGATAATCCTCTTAAAGTTTTCAGGCTTTCTCTGAAAGCTGTCTGTGCCAATGTTAGCTCTTAAAGCAGACAATAAATTCTAATTCAGCAAGAGGTATTTTAAATAAGAAATGCAAGGGTCTCTATGGTGATTTTAGGTTAACAAACGTAAGGCCTAGTCAGGATGAATTTGTGTTTAAAAAAGAAATGAACTAAAAGTACTTTTAAAAGAAATGGAGGGAATGGAATAAAAAAGAGAGAATTCTGATAATTTCCTAGCAGGGATTTATTATCTTTCAGTTATAAAAGAATAAAACAAACCCACCCCGATGGTCTCCAGGGAAAATGCTGCTGTTTATAAACGGTGAGATGGGCTGTGATGGAATGTCCAAATGAAGTCAGACAGCATGACTGAAGGCCACCAACTAGCCAAGCACCTGACATGCTGAGCATCTGCCATACAATCTGTAATTGGCTTTGAACCAAATCCTGTAAAATACTGTGCACTTAGCAACTCCAATGGGTGCTTAGGACCTCACAGTATCTGAGCCATGGTCTTTGAGGGCCCAATCCTGTAAGGTGACAAGCATTTCCCCTTGACTCTGTGTTATGAGAGTGGGATGCAGGATTGGGCTCTGAATGGTGCAATAACCGAGGGTGAAGTTTAACAGACCGACCCATGTAAAACCTGAAAGATGTCGATTTAAGTCCATATATACTAGCATAGAGTGAGAACATCCAATCTCCCTCTACCTATCAGTTGTAACCATAAGCTGATGACTTCCTCCTTAATACAATATGAGAAACAAACAAATTATCATTTGGTTTTGTTTCTAGCTGAGGAATGACTTCAATGATGCAAGCATTAGCCTGCCAAGTCTCACATGCACCATAAATACAATCCAGAAAGAGGTGTCATCCTAAAACAGCTGCAGACAGTTGCTTAACCCCCCAAATCTCAGGAACTCAATCAACTCAGCACTAACGTAGGTAAAGTATGCAAGGATTTGCATAGGTTATGAAGTGTGCAATGTTCACATGGGCACCATATGTTCTCTGGCCAACTAGAAAAGGACAAATTCTCAGTATGGCAGCACTGAATAATACTGCACTGTGCCCATTCTCCTGTCCAGGGTAGTGTAATATCTCCCAGGCAGAAGTTATGGAGGCTTTGCATTTCAATCTGTGAGATCTTTGCAGCAGACCTGCAACAGCAAATAAACTTCAGTTCATACACTCATTATGGGAAGCTAAGCAAGCTTATTGTGTTCTAACAGTTGACTGGTTTTCTCAATAAATCAACGTCAAGAGAAGAAATAATCCAAACACCACAAACTCCTGTTGATAGCACATTCCACATGCTGTTAATCAGCTTTATGAAAAGAACTAATTAGAAATATTGCAGCTACTTCTGTAATGAGTCGGGTACCTTTGGGCAATGAAAACATCACAGTTGGTGACTAATCTGATTAAAATATGACCATATAGATCATTGTTGCAACCATTGTTGTTATATATTTGCAACAAATCTTGTACAAAATATGGCATGTAAGATGTCTATGGAAAGATTATGATTTGCTAAATATGATTATGCTATTTGTAATCATGTATCATTTTTGTATTTGAAGTTATGCGTATTGGCTCATTGAAGTTATGAGTGAAAGTAAGCCGATGCGGTATGGCATACCGGCAAGAGCCGGTACACAGCTGACTGTACTGGTAGGGGGCAGCTTCCCCAGAACAGCCATTTAAAAGGGCCCAGGGGTCCTGGCAGCGGATGGGGCCCCATGCCTCTTAAATCGCTGCCAGAGCCCCGGGGCTTCCAGCCGCCGCTGCAGCTACCGTTACGATGGGGCTCCGGCAGTGATTTAAAGGATCTGGGGTTCCCGACTGCTGCTGCCAAAGTCCCGGGCCCTTTAAATTGCTGCTGGAGCCCCGGGGTAGCGGCAGCAATTTAAAGGGCCCAGGGATTTAAAGGCCCCGCCCCTTCCACCTGAGGCTCCGCCCCCTTGCTCAGGACCCCAGCCCTCTGTACCGGTAAGTCTCTTAAGTTACTTTCACCCCGTCTATACCTATATTTCAAATGTTTGCTCCTGAGGTAACGCCCACAAGGTATTTAGCCTGCACATCTTGAAGGAACTATTCAAGTAGAATGACCCATTAAAGTACACTTAACTTACAATGGAAGACACCTATCTACTCTCAATGGACTTTCCTGCTGTGACTAGGTGAAATCATGCATGGACATGTGACTTGTCCATGTGACTCCAAACACCATCTTGTTACTGTGATTTTTCACAGTAAGAACAATGGGATTCCCTCCACATGGCAGAAGAGATAAAAGGCCCTGGAAACGTCTCCATTTTGCCCCTGTCCTGTTCAAACCTCTGGACAATGGACTTATACTAATGGGAGTATTCTAACCAAGGGACTGAGGTCCTTACAATGATTTGGAAGCAACCAGAGATTTCTCAAGCCAGCAGTTTATTCCATCACTGCTACAAGTCTGAACCAAGAACTTTGCAATTGTTGTATGTATTTGATTCCTTTAACCAATTTTAACTGTCACCTTTCTTTCATTCAATCTCCATGAAATCTCAGTGGTTTGACAGCCTTCAGCTAGTGGAACCATGATGGCGTGGCTGCTTTCGGGACCTTGTGCATCCAGCAAAGGATGGAAGAACTGGCCCCTTGTTGATAAAATTCAAAGGTAAAATCTTGGAGAGTACATATCCTATTAGTGTTACAAGAAGCCTCTTCCATTTGTTTGTGTGAGACAACATGTGCATGTTTATGAGAAATGTCTTATTTCAAGCCAGCTAGTTATCTTATGTGTATTTTCCCTGTCTAATATGTAAGCAAAAATATGGTACAGTATGACCCCCAAATCCACATTGTCTACATCTGGTCTCTGCTTCTCATGGAAGTGCAAAGAATAAAAGCTGAGGCAGGGGCAATAAATAGGTAGACCGGAGGCTAAATCCGGACTACCAGATCCTTTTGAATGACCGCAAAATCTTTTTATTATTGTTGGGTTTGTATTTTCTCTGGAACCTTGGCCAAGAAATTTGGGCCTTGACAAAAAATAATTGATCCCCTGGCTGCGTGTGTGTTTGAAGTCCACATTTTGACCTATTTTCAGCTGCTGAACTGTGCTACATAATATCTACCAAGATGCCTGCATATCCCATGTATGCTAAACTCCAGTTGACAATCTTGCATTCATACTGAGGGAAAATACAGATAGCTAAATGTCTAGGGGGGGTTAGTAATGGTCTGTTTATTCAGACTTAGTACACAAGGAAAAAGAAGCATAAAGTACAAATAATCTTCCTAGCCCTAGAGTTGAAAACAGATGGAAAGTATCATAATATTTTGTATTGCATTATGAATGCACTGAAAAATTTACAAGGAGAATAATCAGCATTGACGGAGTTATTTGTGAAGTCACTGTAGTGGATAGGGCACTGGAATAGGAACCAACCAGAAGACATTGATTTCATTCCAAAGTCTTTCACTGACTTGATGCATGACAGTGGGGTAATTCACTTCCCCACTCTGCGATTCATTCCCTTCCAAGCCTTTGTCTTGTTTTTGATAGTCTCTGCTCCAACAAGTTTACAATCTCATGTGTTTGGCTAATATCTGCAGCAATAGGCCCCTGATCTCAGAAATTCTACTAATAAAAAACATAATCTTTCAACTCATATCTGCTTGAGTAATATTTACCCACATAAATAGACCCTCTGACTTCAACAGGGCTATTCATGTGACTGTGGTTTGCTGGGTCAGTGCTCTTGTCTGGATTCTGGATCTTGGAGCAAACAATGCACAGTGTTGATGATGAGATAATTAATCTAATTCCATGTTAAGTATGATTGTCTGGCCTGCTGGAGGAGCAGGAGATTGTTCTTAAAAGTAAGATTAAAGGGAATTTTTTTTTTAAACAATCCAGTTCTTGCCAAATAATTTAAAGGGGTATTGAAGAATTAAGTATTGAAGGCACTCAGCATTTCCCAGGTCCTATTAAAAATAAATAAATAAACAGATGAGCTGCATAAACAGTCACTGTGTACATAGGACCTAAACACACAATGATGGGCCAGCACATGCCCCAGGATCAATGCATGGAGCTCTCACTCTTCCTGCCTGAAAAGATCTTGGATACCCCAGTCTCACCTCTTCTAGTGCCCTGCAGAGGTGCCTCTGGTGTTGGGATCTGTAACGCAGGTATGAGGATTGGATGTCAGCACACTGAGTAGGGATGGAGTATGGGCACATTGCATCAAGTGGAGGGTTATTTGAGGAGCCAGGCCTTACAGATTTGAAAGATATTTAGGCACCTAAACCCTTATACTGAATAATAAGCTCTAAAAATCAGAGTTAAGATATTTTTGAATACATAAATTTATTGGCAGCAATTTGAATTTCTACTCATTAGTAACTGATTACTCTAGTTAATAATAATAAAACTTTGTACTTATCACTTTGCATCCAAGCACCTCAGAGTACTTGAAAAATATTAAGCATCATAACTTCCTCTGAGGAAGGTAAATATTATTACACTGTTTTTTTGTTACAGCTGGGTAATTTGGAGCATAAGGCCTTGGCTACACTTACCCGGTAGTTCGGCGGCGAGCGATCAAACTTCTGGGTTCAACTTATCGCGTCTAGTCTGGACGCGATAAGTCGAACCCGGAAGTGCTCGCCATCGACTGCGGTACTCCAGCTCGGCGAGAGGAGTACCGCGGAGTCGACGGGGGAGCCTGCCTGCCGAGTGTGGACCAAGGTAAGTTTGAACTAAGGTACTTCGAACTTCAGCTACGTTATTCACGTAGCTGAAGTTCCGTACCTTAGTTCGAATTAGGGGGTTAGTGTAGACCTGGCCTAAGAAAAGGACTGTATTTTCAAACTATATTTACAATTATCAGAGGGGTAGCCGTGTTAGTCTGAATCTGTAAAAAGCAACAGAGGGTCCTGTGGCACCTTTGAGACTAACAGAAGTACTGGGAGCATAAGCTTTCGTGGGTAAGAACCTCACTTCTTCAGATGCAAGTCTAGTTAATAATAATAAAACTTTGTACTTATCACTTTGCATCCAAGCACCTCAGAGTACTTGAAAAATATTAAGCATCATAACTTCCTCTGAGGAAGGTAAATATTATTACACTGTTTTTTTGTTACAGCTGGGTAATTTGGAGCATAAGGCCTTGGCTACACTTACCCGGTAGTTCGGCGGCGAGCGATCAAACTTCTTGCATCTGAAGAAGTGAGGTTCTTACCCACGAAAGCTTATGCTCCCAGTACTTCTGTTAGTCTCAAAGGTGCCACAGGACCCTCTGTATATTTACAATGTTCACCCTTTGACAAAATTTAGCTTTTAATGGGAGCCAGGCACATTCATTTTGAGGATAGAATTTAACCGAGAGACCTGATTTTCTTGTCTTCACCATGTGTAATCACTTGTACCTGTACATATGGAATGTAAAATGTCACACCATTGATTTGTACTTTTCACACATTTTGCATAGGAGTAAATGACAGCACAAGGTACAAGGCAAGGAAGAACCATGTCCTAAGTGATTAGAAGAAAAGGTAATTGGGCAATCGCCTAAACCCATCATGAAGGAGTTGACTCACCCTCACTAGAGGTGTTAAAAAACTAAAGAAAATAAAACTTTAGCAGGATTAGTTTAGAAGAAGATGCTACTCAGTGCAGTGAAGTGGCTGGGAAGAATCCAGGAATGTTTTCCTACTGCACCCCCTGTGAGAAAGCTAGTATCAAAGGTGCTACCATCATGTTCGTACAGGAGGACCAAAGACGTGTAGAAAGGAAAGGAAGGCCCCTTGAATATTTTTTTAGTTTGAAATTCCTGGTTGTTTGTGTGAAGAAAATCTTTGTGTTTGTTCACACTTTGTTTGTTTGTTCTCATGGTTTCCTTTATCACTGTGCGGGCATCGATAGCATTTAACAATGTGTGTTTTGTTTAGCTGTGGGAAAAGAAAAAGATAGCCTCATTTTCATTAAGGTGAGAATATTAGCAATAATACTTTGATTCCAGTCGTATACCCAAACGATTACTTGGTGTACACAACACAGATTTTCAAAAGGACAAATGGGAGCTAGGCACCTAACTGCCATTTGTCCCTTTGAAAACACTGCTCTACAGCCAAAATGCTTCTGAAATAAATGTAGTCAAACTTTACTAATTCTGGGTCAATGAGAACGAAAATGATGCTTAAAATTGTTGATTGGCTCTAGTTTTCAAGATATGCTATTGGGTCAGTATATACGACCCTTGACTTGGGAATGGCAGAGGATAAGTGAGTTATAAAGGGAAGGGATCTCAATTTAAACCAGAAATGACTAAAATACATCTTTGACTAGATCTATGAATAAATCTATGACTAGGTTTGGACAGTATTTGCTTTTTAGGCAAAACAATGAATGATGCAATCTGCAGCTGGTATTGCGTCATACATGATATGAATTGCATCATGTTATTCCTAGAAGTCATGGATGATGCAATCATAACGAAGCTTACATCACTCTGCTGAACTAA